GGGGCGAGGTGCGACTAAATACATGAGGGAATAGGGGTAACAGCGGGGGACTGGGTCGAGTCATGGTCGGGGCCGATACGGGGACCCTTCGGATAGGATCCGAGCGACCCGAGATGGAACGATTCGTAGAATCGTTACAGCTACCAGGTCTCACTCTGTTAGAGGGGGGGCCTAGGAAAAGGTTACTGCAACCTTTTCCTAAACCACCCCTTCCTTAATTATCCTAGCTGCGTACTACAGTTTGCAGAGATATACTGTAGTTTGCAGTAATATGCTTCTACTCACGCTGCTAGTTAATCCTAGCTAACAATCTTAGGCACCAGCCTATTACACAGGCATTCTATCTACGCCCACGTTCTAGGTATAGTATTCTATGCAATTACGTCACCCTGACAAGCGGCCCTAGCGCGAAATACAGCATATTGTTGTTTTTACAGCTACAGATAAAAACTGTCTAATTTCGCGAAAAGCCTTAATGCAGCTAGCACGCCTTACTAAGTGCGCAATGCTATTCCCAACTACCTACCATACGTATGCATACTATATTACGGAATCTAGCTTGCAGGGCCTTTGCGAAACGTTTCTGTCTATTATCTATGTACTACTAACCGCTGGAGGTGGGTGCTGTTTAATTCCACTAAAAACCTAAATGCGGCAAGCGCTCAATGCTAGCTAAGTACCATAATGCTATTCCTGACTACCCACAAACCATACGTATGCATACAATATTACAGAATCTGGCTTACAGAGCCTTTGCAAAACAGTTCTGTCTATTATCTACGTACTACTAACTGCTAGAGGTGGATGGTGTTTAATTCCACTAAAAACCCAAATGCGGCTAGCGCCTAATACTAGCCAAGTACCACAATGCTATTCCTGACTACCTACAAACCATACGTATGCATACTATATTACAGAATCTGGCGTTCAGAGCCTTTGTAAAACGTTTCTGTCTATTATCTATGTACTACTAACAGCTGGAGGTGGATGGTGTTTAATTCCACCAAAAACCCAAATGCAGCTAGCGCCTAATGCCAGCCAAGTACCACAATGCTATTCCTGACTACCCACAAACTATACAGATGCATACAATATTACAGAATCTAGCTTGCAGAGCCTTTGCGAAACGTTTCTGTCTATTATCTATGTACTACTAACTGCTAGAGGTGGGTGCTGTTTAATTCCACTAAAAACCCAAATGCGGCTAGCACCTAATGCTAGCTAAGTACCATCCATAATGCTATTCCCGACTACCTACAAACTATATAGATGCATACAATATTACAGAATCTAGCTTGCAGAGCCTTTACAAAACGTCTTTGCCTATTTTCTACTTACTACTAACAGCTAGAGGTGGATGGTGTTTGATTCCACTAAAACCCTAAATGCAGCTAGCGCCTAATGCTAGCTAAGTACCACAACGCTATTCTTAACTACCCACAAACTATACAGATGCATACAATATTACAGAATCTAGCTTGCAGAGCCTTTGCAAAACGTTTCTGTCTATTATCTATGTACTACTAACTGCTAGAGGTGGGTGCTGTTTGATTCCACCAAAAACCCGAATGCGGCTAGCACCCAATGCCAGCTAAGTACCATCTATAATGCTATTCCTAACTACTAACAAACTATATAGATGCATATAATATTACAGAATCTAGCCTGCAGAGCCTTTGCAAAACGTTTTTATTTATTATCTATGTACTACTAACAGCTGGAGGTGGATGGTGTTTAATTCCACTAAAAACCCAAATGCGGCTAGCGCTCAATGCCAGCCAAGTACCATAATGCTATTCCCGACTACCCACAAACCATATGGATGCATACAAAATTACAGAATCTAGCTTGCAGAGCCTTTGCGAAACGTTTCTGTCTATTATCTACGTACTACTGACCGCTGGAGGTGGATGGCGTTTAATTCCACTAAAAACCTAAATGCGGCTAGCGCTTAATGCTAGCCAAGTACCACAATGCTATTCCTGACTACCCACAAACTGTATAGATGCATACAAAATTACAGAATTTGGCTTGCAGAGCCTTTGCGAAACGTTTCTGTCCATTATCTATGTACTACTAACAGCTGGAGGTGGATGGTGTTCGATTCCACTAAAACCCTAAATGCAGCTAGCGCCTCTTGCTGCCTTGCTAAACAATCCTCTTACTAAAAACAGTTAAGACCTCTCTAATGCCTACCTTTTAACTACTCTCTCTTCTGCCGCAACGCCTATATAGCTTAACCGCTGCCTGCCTGTAGCTTTTGAACCTGTTTTTGTCCCTTTGCGCGAAAAAAACCCTACTGTCCCAGGTCTAACCTTATGCCTGTTTCTGCGGTTTATTTTCTTAACTATGCTTTGTTAGGCTTCTTGTTTCTTTACTGCTGCTTATTATCTTTGCACTATTACTTATCTTAATTCTCTCTACTGTACTAAGATGCGTCTTTATAGTGCCTATTACTTAAGCAGTTCCTCTTACATAATGTCTTTGTTATTAGACAAGTGCGTAGAGTGCGTGTAAAAAGGGGGTTATTATAACACTTTTATGTCTAACACAGCTTAGAATTATTTAAAGCAGGAGTGTAAGAAGCTATTAGCAGAGCTAAAGGCAATTTAGAAAGATAATATGCGTAAAAAAAAAGAGAAGGTGTAAATAAAAAAAAGTTACTAAAATGTTTTTAGTTAATTATTTTCTATTAAAAAAGAGCCTGTAAACAGTTAGAGGTGTTAGAGAGTTAAAAGGCAAAGTATCTAGAAGGAAACCTTTTATCTCTAGATAAGCTTAAAGCGCTTAAGGTAAAGGCTGCAGGTATAAGAACAGAGCTCTGTACCACTACGCTAATACAACTAAAAAGGTGCGAATAATCAACCAACGTTAATTTTCAGGTGCAGAATAGTATATATACCCGTCGCACGTAAGCACCATCTCGGCCTTACACGTAAGCGCTATCCTAGCCTTACAGCAGGTCTTCCTTCTCCTTAACCTATATTAAAGGGTTGCAGACCTCTTACATTGCAGCTAGCTAATGCTGCTGTAGTTTTAACTAATAATAATGTTTTCTAGACTAGAGAGCTTTCTTTAGAGTAGTTTTATTTAGAAGGAACTCTAAGTATTTATAAAGAACTAGAGAGGCGTTAAACAGGCTTCTAATAGGCTCCTAGGTGCTTTTGCTAGTAGGCTATCTCTTCTATTTAATTAAGTACTTGCTTTCTTAATAGTTTAAGATTTATTCTACTTTATACTTCTTTTTTTCTTTATTCTATTTAGTAGTTGCTAGTAGAATAGTTTTAGGCGTAAGTTTAAGCTTAAAAATGTAGAACTAAGAGTGTATTTACATTTTCTTAAGTAGCTTAAGTTTGTAAATGCTAAGGCGCGTTTATATAACTCTATAGAGTCTTATGCGCTTTTTAGTAAGCTTCTTAGAAAGTCTTAGTGTTTTAAGATTCTTTATATCTAAATATATATAGTTGTTAGGGTGTATTTTTAGTGCTAATTACTTTTTTTAGTTTACTGCTTTTTCTATAGCATTTTAAGCTAACTATGCTTCTCTAGTTAGTTTTTAATGCAGTTCTAGAAGTTTAGTTGTCTAATTTGTAGCCTCTAGAGAGTCTGTTAGCTAGGTAGAGTGTAGTTTATACTGTAGAGAGTATCTAAAATTAGCTTTGTACAGGGTTTTCTTAGTTATAGCTAACTTTATAGTGTTAATAGTAAGTTGTGCTATTAGCAGCTATTCTACCTAGTTATTTTATTTATAGGATACGTACTTACGCAGGTATTTCTCTACTTTTATGTTTACTCTTTCTGTTTGTCTATCTATTTATAGGTAGTAAGCTATAGAAAGCTTATAATTAATCTCTAAATGTCTAACTACTGCTGTTTAGTATTTGCTTATAAATAGTTTATTATAGTTAGAGATAATTATCTTAGAGCAGCTATAAGTAGCTAAGACATTCTTTTCTAATTTAAATATAAATTCCTTAGCTGTAATACTTTTTTCTAATAGCTATAAGTAAACAAACTTTATAGTTTTATTAATAACTTGTGTAATTATATTACAGAGTCTTTCTATGCTAGGCTTTTATAATAGTAGTAATCTAGTAATAAAATCTATAGTTATTATAGTTTATAGTTAACTTAGCGCTGTAATTAGTTAGAGTAGTCTATAAGGCTTATGTTGTTGTAGGTTGTTTTTGTTGCAGATGTTGCATTCCTGCAAGACTTTAGTGCATAGATGCTTTAATTATAGCACTTTTTAAAGTATAGCATCTTTAATCTTTTTCTGTAGTAATCGAATTCCTAGGTGTCTAAACGTAGAGGCTTTATAATATTCTTTTATTAGGTTCTTTTATTCTTATTTAACTATTATAAAAAAACATAGTAGTTTTTCTTAGTTTAGTCTTTTATAGACTAAGCCTTCTAGAGTTTCTTTAAAGATTGTAAATTTTTTAAAAATTTTTTAGTTTTTTTTAAATTAGTTAGAGCGCTAGCTAAGAGCGTTTACTTATTAGTTGCTGCTCTCTGCTACATGCTTAATAATAAAGTCAAACAATGCTAATTCTATAGCCTATTGTACATGCATTAGCAAAAGTTTTTTAGTAGTAAGAAAAGTAATAAGGTTTATGTAGTTAGTAAAAATTATAAATTATTAACTAAAACTTTAAAGCTTAACTTTCTAATTTCTACATGCATTAACTATAGCCTTTAATTCTTTATTAGAGATAGTATACTTCTGTTCTAATAGTGTAAACTTTGCTAAGTAGTAGGCTACTAGGTGCTATTAACTATTTTTTTATTTTTAAGAGAGTGCTGCTTCTTCTGCTCTTAGAGAAGCATTAGTGTGCACTTTTATTTTTAGTGTAGAGTTATACATTCTAAGAACAGAGTAGCTTATTATAATCTGTTTTAATTCTTAGAAAGCATTCTCTATTTTTGTTATTTATAGAAATTTCTAAGTAGATCTTTCTTTTAAAGTAGCATCTATAAAGGGTAGCGCAATTTTTAAATAGTCCTTAATTATTCTCTATATGTAGCTAGTAAGGCCTAGAAATTCTTTAATTTCTGTAACAGTTTCTAGTGTTAGCTATTTAAGTACCTTATTTACTTTAGCTAAGTCTATTTTTATTTCTTCTTTGTTAATAATAAATTTAAGGTAGTTAGTTTTTTATATGTTAAATTTGCATTTTTCTAGCTATAGATAGAGTTTGTATTTTTAGAGCTTATCTAGCACTAGTTGTACCTTTGCTACGTAGTCTAGTTTATCTTTCTTAGTGTATATAAGAATGTTGTCTAGATATACTAGGATAAAGATGTCTAGGTATAAGTTAAGTGTTGTGTTAATTACTCTTTAGAAAGTTATAGAAGCGTTAGTAAGCCTAAATAGCATAATAAGAAGCTTATAGAGAGCCTATAAGGTTTTAAAAGCTGTTATCTATTTATGTCTTTCTTTTATTCTTATTTTATTAAATCTATTCTAGACCTTAAACTTTATAAAGTGTGTAGTTTCTTTTAACTAATTTATAATGTTTTAGATAATAGAAAAAGAGAACTAATCTCTTATAGTATTTTTATTAAGAGTTTAATAGTCTTAGTAAACTCTAACTTTTCTATTTTTCTTTTTTACAAAGACTACTGCTAATGCTATAGAGCTCTTACTTTCTTAGATATAGCCTCTTACTAGCATGTAATCTATGTATTTTTATAGTGCTTCTTTCTAAGTTGCTGTAAAAAAGCGCAGCTTATGTGTCTTTAGTTAAAGATTAGGTTTAAAGTTAATTGCGTAATTCTAAGGTTAATATAGAGGTAGTTCTTCTAGGTTTTTAGAAGTTATAAACATGTCTTTGTAGCTATAGTATTCTTTTAGAAGTTTCTTCTTAGGTTTTTCTGTAATTTAGTAGATTCCTACCTAGTCTAGATCTCTTTCTTTCTTAAATTCTTTAAAGGAGATTTCTTTTAGTTCTTTCTTTATTATGTAGATAGTGTGTGCTTCTAGTTTCTAGTAGGGGAACTTCTAGGGCTTTATTTCTTTTTAAGGATAGTCTAGTCTCTGTTAGGCCTGTGCGTGAGCTA